GTGGAACTCAGTGAGTAAATTTACTAGGAGCATCAGTCCTTGGAACAGAACTTCAAATAGAAACTTAAATCATTCTACTGGGGCTGCTGAAAGTCAAGTTCAAAATGTTTGTAGGGTGTAATAAATATCTGTATGGTTTTCAATTCTAATTTTGAACTCTAGCTAATGCAAAGGTAGATCCTTTGCAAATCATGTCCTCAGGTGGTCTAAAACAATGTAATGTAGACTAGACTTCAATTTTCACACTGCATGAATTCAAATTGTTGTTTTTTCATGACTCCTCCACGCTAAAAATCAACGTAATTAATTGCATTTTTTTTGCTCTTTTCCTATTTCAAGAATATTATATTCAGTAAGTTGTGAAGCATTTTAAAATGTAACGATGTACAGGTCTGTAAACTGCATTAGTGATGACTCATTAATGTAATGATATGTGCCCAAATTTTATAGCATTCCTAAAGAGTAATTCACTCAGTTGGAATATTGCATGAAATCTATATCTGTATTGGTTTCAGACACGATGGAAGTATCCAGGTTGTTCACGGGCTCAAGAATTCCTATTTTTAACAGATAACATTAACAACACAGTTTTGTTTTATATACTTTCCAGGTGATCCCACTGACACACAGGTGTTACGAATTAAACCAACAACAGTCCAGGAAAGATACAGCTGAAAACTTTGAAAAACAAGTCAGAATTTTTCACTTACCATTTTGGGAAGAAAGATGTCCTTCCTTCATTTCTGTTTATTTCTTGACTTAGTTTGCTAACAATGCTGTTTAAAAGAATCACAGAAATAGTTAAAAAAAAAGTCCTTGTAACCTGCAGTCACTTTCTTAGCTGCTTTCCTCCCATTTTATCACAATTTTTAGTAAATGAAATGTGACTTGAATTTATCATTTACTGTGTGGTAGGAATACTTAAGTTCTCTTCTTATTGCAAAGCTACACTATTGCACATAGAACAAGGAAGAGCTTGTAACTTGGCAGTTGAATATTGGACTTGTTTGCATGGAGAAAAATCAGTATTGTTGGATCGAATTTAAAAATCGACGTTAAGCTCAGCAAGCCTTAGAAATTTAGGGTGTGGGAGACAGCAGGCACTGGAGCAGTGCTTTAAATAATGGTGTGGCATTCTATTACTTTGCAGGGAAAAAGCAAATGCTATTTCAGGAAGCTGCTTCTTTGAAGCCTGTGGTCATAGAAATGAAATTAAATGCACCTTGTGACTTTCTTTTCTTTTTGTCCCTCTCCCTCCACAATCATGATATGCACAGTCAGGAATCCCTCCCATCAGTTTCATGTCATAACATATGCAGAGCAGAAATACAAATGAAACATAAGATGTGTACACCTTTATGTCTACAGAGATTTTGATGTGCTTTTCATCACTCGTGCATAGTTTGTGTGCAGCATTAGGGTGAATAATATATATTATTATATTATTATATTATTATATTATTATATTATAATATTATATAGTAACAACCAGTGAAATACAATCCTCAAAGATCTTTAGGTCAGGTGCATGCAGTTAAGCTGCACTTACTGCTGGCATCCATACCCAACATAGATAACTGTGAGTGATGTTTTTTATATTCACTGAGTGCCTGAGAAGAGCAGCAGGGTTAAAGGACACAGTCAAAGAGAACAACTGAATTCAGCCCAGTAGAGCAACATCACTCTGCTCTGCTGCTAATGAAATTTTCCTCAACAATGATCTTATTTCAAAGAAAGTTTTGGTTCCAAGAAAACATATGCTGAGTCATATTCCAATTCTTAACTCTCGTTTCTTTTTATAGGAAGTCCACTCAGAAAGTCCTGTGGCAGCCAAAGCAAGTGGGTTACACACATATGGTTGAAAATGCCCCATTTGACTTCTGGCTGATATTATTCAAGTCTAGCAGAATGTGGAAGTAAAAGTATGATGAAGAAAAATCAGGAACCAAATGTGTCTCCTTATGTCAGATTCTAAATTCTGTAAAAGCTTAATTTTATGGTTTGTAAGTGCAGATTCCTTTTCCATAGATCTTAGATCTGGCAATAAACTTTATATCAGTATTTAAAATCTTTGCATGTGTCCAGGAATTGCCAGGCAGTTACCAGTCTCTTGTTTTTCTTCCTGTTTCATATCTTCTTCTGCTACTTACCAACACTGGTCCCCTAATTATCTGATTTGTGCATCTCTTTCATGTCTAACTGTTTTTTTGGGCAGAGCCCGAGTAAGGCAGGCTTTCAAGCATTCTAGCATTTAACAAAAAGCCAATAAAAACTCACTATTTTTATAATCCTAAGCCATGTAAATGCCTGCTGTCTTGGCATTGCTGCTTCCCCAGTATGTACCTTGCTGTAATTCAGAGTATGGAAGTGCAACAGAGGCAGATTGAGCTGTCAGCCAGTATCAGATAACAAGTAATTTCAAAACAGTGAATCTAAAAATGATAAAAATGGCTGATTTTATGTTAGGGGCATGGACTCAAGGATGAGTATGAAAGCAGAGGAAGGATATTGTGGGGGTTTTCTTTTTTAAGACTACTTTGCAATTTAACAAGTTTAAGCAAATGTTGTCATACTTGCCCGTTTTGAAATAAGTATGTGCATACAAATGTTAACAACCTAAGAGTGATCACAGAATTACAGCTGTCTCAGTCTGATCTTGTCACCCAAGTAAACTGTATGAGGGAAGAAAACTTCCAAATTACAAGGTTCTCTTTTTTCCTATGGAATTCGCACTTGTCTGCACAATAAATCTTGTGCTGCAGGTGATCAGTAAGTTGCTATGTGAATAGTAAGACTCCAAGGGAACATCAGGACATGTTCTGGTGAGAACAGTGCCCTGCTTAGACACGTGCTTTTGTGGAGAAGTGGATTACAACACTTGTGCTTGGCTAATTCACTATCATAGCAGAGGAAGTATCTTTCAAAATCTTGAGCTTAATTTCTGCTAAAGAAGTAAAGAAAAGGCCACAGGCTTTAGAGTCAATAGTTGTTTTAGTTTAGGGTCCCATAGGTGTGAATGTGATCTGAGTGTCTGCAGGCTTTCTGGACTGAAACCTGGGCTGGCTGTTGTGAGGGTTTACATCAGCCAGTACCGAAGAAAAACTGGAAAAGTTGCTCACTGAATTCACTCAGCAAATTAATCATTTTCTGCTTACAATACAGTGTGTAGTTTGTTTTTGAGTTTTTGAGTTTGTTTTAAATGGTTCAAACCCAGTGGCTTAGAGAAGAAAGCGAAGTTTAGAATGGTAATTTTTTACAGGCAACTTTATTACAGAAGGTACGTGCAAAGAGCAGCTGAGGCTGTAGCCATGCAAGGAAGGAAGTACCAAAACCACACTGCTTTCTGAGTTGTGGGAGTGTGTGATAGGACAGGATAAGGCAACAGCACTTGCAGAAAATGTTACTCAGACTTCTCTTTCTCTTTCTGCCTCCTTCACCAGGCACTTAGCTTAACACTAGCAGGAAGTTCAAAAAAAAAACCCACACAAATACAAAAACACCAGTACTCCAAAAATGACTTTTGTTTGGCTCCTACAGATATTGCTGTCATGAACAGAATCCTTTCTGCGTGTATTAGGAAAAAGAACTTAGGACAGGTGAAAGAGAAAGAGGGTGAAGTGCTCTAAGACCAGGAAGTTGCATAGATTGGGCGCTGCCAAAAGCAGAGTTTGTGATGGAGGCTTTGAGTAATGTTCTGGCCTGTGAATAATGTCTGTTGGGCAGATGCAACATTGTTATGTTGCCTTCAAAACAAACCATCAATTAAGTTTTATACATTTCAATCTTTAGCAGCCTACCCAAGAGAGCATGTGTGCACAAATGGCATCACAGAATTGTAGGGGTTGTAAGGGACCTCTGGAGACCACCTAGCCCAACTCCCTGCTAAAGGAGGTTTTCCCTCAGCAAGATGCAGAGGAAAGTGTCTAGATGAGTTCTGAATGTTCCAGAGAAGGAGACTCCGCAGCCTTTCTGGTCAACCTGTTCCAGAGCTCTGTCACCCTCATTGTAAAGATTTTTCTCATGCTTACATTGAACTTCCTGGGTTCCAGTTTGTGCTTGTTTCTTCTTTCCCTACCACTGAAAAAAAAAAACCAACAAAAAAACCCGGTCCCATCCTCTTGACTTTTGCCTTTAAATATTTATATGCATTGATATGATCCCTTCTTGGTCTTCTCCAAGCTGAACAATCCCAGATTTCGCAGCCTTTTCTCATAAGAGAAGCTCCAAGCCCCTAACCTTCTTTGTAGTTCTCTGCTGGACTCTCTCTACAAGTTCCCTGTCTTTCTTGAACTGAGGAGCCCAGAACTGGATAGAGTACTCCAGATGTGGCTGGTCGGGATTAACATTTAAATTGTGGAGGGTCTTATTAGCTTCAGAGGGTGGCCCATCATACTTTGTAATGACAACTGTTATCTGCTGAGATACTGAAAGGTTCCTGTAAATGTTAAAGAACCATCCCTAAAAAAGAAACGGCACAGTTTCATGCAAAACTTGATCACTACAATTGTTGAAATGCATGTATTTAGTAAAACCACACACTCTGTGTGGATGTGTGCTGTGGTTTGCAAGCCTTTCACAGTTTGAAGTGCACTAAGTACAACTGTTGCTATTTATGTTGAGGCGTTTTATAGACCTTTGCTCTGCCATTAAGTGGATCACGTGCTGGGATTAAACATGCTAATGTGTATTTCAGCTAATAAAAGAGCTTTTCCTACAAGGTGATTTTTCTATTACAATATAAAAGCAAGGAGTGAATGTTTCACAAAAGCCAATACAAGCACTTTCCATTTTGATAAGAGCAAGGAAGTTCCAAAGTAATTAAATTAATGAAAGGAATGACTAGATATTCCACCCATCAATTTTATCTGTTTTGTTTGTTGTGTTCTTGATTCTATGTTGAATTCTATGATTCTATGATTGTGTTGATTTTTTTTTTTTTTTTTCTTAAATGACAATCAGTTCTTTTTCCTACTAAAGCTCTAAATTCTTATTTTTAACAGTGGCATTCTAGGAGGATTTCCCATCATGCCATTTTCCATGTGCAATTACAATATTCCAGTGAATTGCTTCCCTGTTGGTAAGTGAAGAAAAGTCATTCAATTTACTTATTTTTTTCTGTCCTTCAAGTTGTGCACTTCACTGTTCTTTTAAAGCTCTTGATTTCAAATTCTCATCTTCTTGAGAATCCCAACAGATCTGAGTGAAAAAGGCTGCTGGCTTTCTGCTCAGCTATTACAAGGCATGAGGACTGTGAAAATGGAATTTGCAAAGCTTTTTTGATATATTATTGATTAGAGGGGGAGCTGTGAGAAACTCGTCGTTAAATTTTAACTGTTTCTCCATGATATTAATATCACTTATGTGTACGTGTTTGTAAGTTGTTGCATTGACCACATTTTACTTATGAATATGAAAGGAAATCACCAAAGGTTTTCAAAATTGAAAGTTGAAACGAGATAAATTTATGAAAGGACTGTAGAAGAGGGAATAATTATGGGAAAATTACAAGCAGTGTGTTTTACAGTACAGTGATGTGAGTTTTTCCACAGTCTCTGTTTCCCTCAATCTCTATAACCATGGTTAAATGGTGCTACTAGTTGACTCTAACTTCAGAAATGCCAGACACCTGGGCATCTTTTCCATAACATCTGGGCTCACTTACAGCACTTCATACACCGCTACACCCTCCTGTGAGGAAACTTATTCTGTGAAAATACAGATACGATCTTATGAAACACATCGTGTTGGAGACTTTCAAGTTCAAGAATTTGTATATCTGATCTGAACAGAGGTATCTTCCTGCCTTCAGATCTGGCAACCAGTTTAACTGTGAGCACATGGATATGACAGACCAGACAGCTTTTCAAATTTTTGCAGTATTTTTAGCATCACCAAAACATCTTACACACGTTCTGATAAAACTAAAGGAGGCTGTGTCTCTTGGCAAGATCAAGATATGCATAGAAGGAGAGAGTCTGGAACTGGGAAGTGAACGAAACTGAAATAGCCATTTTTGAATGACTTGATCTCCTCTTCCCTTACTCTGTTTAGAAGACCATGAAGAGCTCCATGTCTCTCATCATTAGGAGCCTTCTAACTTACATCACACATAAGAAAGAACTCACAGGAAAATAAAACACCTCATTTTTTGCCACAAAGTACTAGAAGTTACTGTTACTCTGTACTGACCCAGTGGGAATATGTTCTTCATTAGTAACCTCTATGAAATTATGACAGCTGTTTGGGTGAGTTCAAAACATTTTCAAGGCCTACCTCACAGGAGGGAAGAAAATCAATTTAACTCTGAGCCAAACCTTCCAAACTGATTTGTCTTTATCACCCACCTTGATGAAAAAGCACACGATGAAAAATGCTTTAACTCCTCAACTCATTTGTACATACCTGATTTTTTTTCCTTTGAATATGGGTCATGAAGCAATGAACAGTTAAATCTTACTTTGCAGGTAATATGTAAAACCTTCAGCCATTGTGTAACTGCTATCAAAAGAAAATTTGTGGATGAATTCTTTAAAACCCACCAGAGATTTTTTTTTAAATTGTGACATTGTTGAGCTACCATGACACACTTCATTTGTTTTTATATTGGAAAACTCTTCTTTTTCTCCCATAGGGTACATTAACAAGTTTCTAACTGATTACTTGGAATCATTTGCCTGATGTTTGCTATGAGTTTTCACTGATGGTGAGTTAAAATAACTTTTAATGTTAAGTGGTTTAGCTTTACTTACGGCACTCGGAGTTTGGGAAATTTCTGGATATCATTTTCAGACATGTTCTGCAAAGGAAACATATGGTATAGATCACAGACTTTGTCCATGAAACACCCTGTGGCTACAGAAGTTAGCGTGTTCAAAAATGTGGCATGAAGTTTCTACTAATATATAAACATCAATTGAATTTGTAAATAAAGTACATAGAAAAGTAATACAAGACAACAGGCTGCCACCCCAATGGCCCAGTGTTAAATAAAGCTTAGATAAGATAAGATTTTAATATTTTTTTCTCAGTTTTTCTGGATGTTAGACTTTATTTTATGTCATCATCATTGTATCAAATTTGCTAGAAGTTTAATGAAAATCAGTGTATTTGTTTACACACAAATAACTTCCCAAGAAACGATCAATTACATGCCTAGCTTTAATGAGAAGTGTTTCTGTAGAAAGGTTGTTTTAAAGATAGCTGATGAAAAGAGGTGTGTAAGGAGTAGTATCCTAAAACAGTGCTTGTCAGATGAGAGCTGCATGAATTGATTTCACAGGATCACAGAATCACAGAATGGCCAGGGTTGGAAGGGACCTCAAGGATCATGAATCTCCAACCCCCTGCCACATGCAGGGCCATTTGTTTACCAATAGGGAGCCATTCTTCTAGAGATTAATTTCAAATTTATGGTACTGCATAAAGTTAAGTTAAAGTCATTTCCTTTTCTGATTTGGGATGTAATACAGTTCTTTACTGGTGCTCTATTGTCATACTGACTTACAAGCCTGATTAAAATTCATCGCGGCTTTTCTTCTCAAAAGAAATGGAAATTTAACTCTCCTCAACAACAACTTTCCCCCTGTAGGAGACTGTAGGAGATAGGTAAGCTAAAGCAGGTGGATAGTAAATGAAAAGGTTTGAGAACTATTTATAGTCTTCTATTAATTAATTTAGTTTCTCATTTGTTTATTTATTTTCCCCTCCTTTCTGGATATTGTTTTTTTTAGATTGCTGTCACCTAACATACAGTATAACATATCCTTTCTGTCTTGAGATGTAATAAATCATCTCAGTGGGCCGTGTCTCAGAATTAATAGCTACATTCTGGCTACATCCTGTGCTTCTTATGACAGAAGTGAGCTCAACAGAATGTTCGTGGTCTACTTGAAATTATCATCACTGATGAGAGTACTGTCCTTGGCAGTTTGAGAGTTATCACAGTAAATATTAAAGCACAGAGTATTGCAAAAGCTTTTTCAAACACTTGTGGTTTCAAAGCAGTGTACAAGTGAATTGTCCTTTGTAAAAAGCAGTTCTTAGTAGAGAAGGCAGACTTCTACCATAGATGATGATTTTAGGCTTTTTTTGCTTCACACCTTTTTAGTATAGCTAAAAATATGGTTAAGTGACTTCATGAACTAGATAATTGAATTCCTTCATGTCTGCATGGTGAAATCTGGCTCAATTGTGCATGACTGCAAAATTTCAGATTAAACTCTTCATGATAAAATGGAATGTGATTTGCCAGAACAGATGAGCTCTGTATGCTGTAAATCCAATCCGTAATATCACAGTGTATGAGAAGTTGTGGAGATGTAGCTGGAGACTCCTTGGACTAAAGAGCAGCATTGATAGCCTAAGAAAGCTCACATGCTTTTTATTAAAAAAATATATATATTTCTAAAAACTTGAGGGTAAGTAGAATGTTCCCTGTACTACCATAGTGAAGCAATTTGATTTCAGGTTACTAGTGACCTGAGCTGAGATGTGCTTTACTGACACTCCTGAAAAGAGAGTTGGCCTCTCTCTTCTTCCGCATGGTTGTGCCACTGCAAATTTAGTATGGATAAATGGAAAACTGGCAAAACTTTTGAGGAATTGTTTTGTTTTGTCAATCAAAAGCTTTGCTTTGGAACTTGGAGGTACGTGTGTTCTTTCTGTCATTTTTACTGCCAGCAGTAATTAATTTCTAATTATATATTGGGTTAAAATGACATCAATGTTTTTAAAGCCACAACAAATCTTAGCTGTGTTTTCCAGCACTACTGTACTTCTTGGTACATCCACAGGAGTAAACTACAGCAAAAATATATTCCTCTTATGGAAACGTCCTGCAGGATTTACTGAAGCATCTTGATTTTTTCTAAAGACCTCTTAAGCTTCTCACTGGAACTCTTTTGTGGCAATAAACCTGACAAATGATATGGGACAAAACTCTCATAAAGAGCCATTCTGCTCTTTTAAATCTTGGGAAATTTTATTGAAGTAAGTTATGTGGAATCCCTCTGGTTTTATTCCTACTACATCTCAACTGGAACATTTTTGTAGTAGCCAGTAGATATAGAAATGTGACTTTGATACTAGCAGGTTATTCTAGTGGATAAGGCAGCCTTATTTCTGCAGTCAGTTCTACTGTCAGATCCAAAACCTGCATACAACTCAGTTCTAACAGTTTCTTATGTTGAAATGTAATTTGGCAGTTTTCAGTAATTTAAACATTAAGAGGTGTTTCTTAGAAACAGCATTCATAGAGAGGAAAAGAGAACAGAACTTGATTGCAGTCTAGAAAATTCCACTTAAATTCACATGTTGTTTTTAAGAAGTGAATCTCTTCTATGCTATAAATATAACAAGTAGGTCAAAAGCTTAAAAACATTTGTCTTAGAAGAGCTGAGGAGCTGCTTGCTTCCTTAACAGAAAAAACATCCCTGGGATCTACAAGGAGTTTCTGAAAACATGCTGCACTCTGGGCCATTTACTTACAGAAGTGCCCTGGAAATAATACATAATAATAATAATAAACCCCACCACTTTAGAAACTGCAGTTATTGCTCTTGTTATTTATCCCTCAAAATTACAGTATTTCAGAACATTTCCAGAATGTTTCCCTGCAGGCACAAATCCTGAGTGCCTGAGCTCAGCCAAATCGCTTAGTGGGTAGCAGGATAAACTCTGTGCCATGCATCTGAATTACTGACTCTACACAGTTAGGAGGGAGGTGTATATCCCATTCCTATAAGAGGTGTTTGAAAACTTGTATGTTGTATTTTAATGAAATACTTGAAAGTTTCATACATTACATACATAAGGAAATAAAAAACAAGAAGGTATTAAAAAAGACGAGCCTCAGTTTTTTCACCATGGCTAATAATACAGGTGATCAAAGTGCCTACTCGTGGGAAAAAAACACAATATTTGGAAATGAACTAGAGCTAAAATGAAATAATGATAAAAGCTGTTACTTATCTTCATGCATGTGCATTTCAGACCTGAAAACAATAGCTACATAAATGGGATTTGTCAGCTTTTGTCAGATTAGGACAATTTATTGATACAGCCTGGACTAATGCTGATTTAGACAATGACATGTTCTAGATTAGCTTCTGTGCTTTTACAGTTCATTGAATATATGTTTTGCCACAGAAGAAACCTGATTTTAACTATAGAGGAATGAAATAGTGACGTAAGTAGAAAGCTGGTCATTCTGATCATGTTCACGCCAACCCTTCATCAAGCAGGAGATGACTACTGGCAGATGATGGTGCTCAGGGACATGATTTAGCAGCAGGTTGTTAGAGTCAGGGTAGTATGGTTAGGCTGAGGTTAGACGTGATGATCTTGAAGGACATTTCTAACCTGAGCAATTTTAAGACAATAAATAAATACGAGTTTTCTGTAGTTAATATTTGAAGAGATGAATTGAAGGCAAGATTTGTAACTACCCTATCAGTTTAAAATGCACTAAAATCCATGCATGTTAAACAACATGCTTGAGTTCCCAGAATTCTGTACTTACAGCAAAATGTCTGGCTGATCTTCTCATATTTATACTTAAGTAATAATCTGGGAGTTGACTGTCAGTGCAAAGAAAGGAAGAGTCAAAACAATCATTGGATTCAGGGAATTTCACAACTCTACTTACCAAAAACCTTTGTCCATTTATACTGTGCTTTCTAACAACTTTCTCACAGTCCTTGTACTTTAACTGTCAATGAAAAGAAGATTATTATGATTATTATTACACTGTAATTATTAGAAACAAAATACTTACAGCTAGCTTTGAATAGGTGCTTCAAGTTACTCTGTTGCGTGCTACCACCTTTTACCTCATCTATCCTAGGAGTCCCAGTAGTTTACAAAATGATTTTTAATCCTCATGTGATAAAGTCATAACACAAAGCTGCAGCTCATTACCTCACTTAGATTTTTTTAATTATTTTTTATTTTTACACACCCTGGGCTGTCTAAATTGATCATTTTTTTTCCCTGTAAATGTGATGTGTCCTATTTTGTTTTTTTTAAACAGCAGTCCTTCAATAGACTTGGATATTTTCATCCCTTGGGAACAGGAATACTAAATTCCCCACATTCAAAAACCAACTTGCAGTTTCCTGTTCAAAAAAATATCTGCAAAATGGATAAGGAGGCTGTGGTACTGACTACAACGAACAGTTGTGAAAAACAGCAAAAGCTCTAATATCTTGGAATAATGAAGCTTTGATCGGAGTTCCTGAATTCGTTGTTGCAATTGAAAAGCTTCCTCTGATGGACTGAAGCATTGAATTCTGCAAATCATCCATAATAAAGCTTTTCTAAGTTATGTTTTGCAGTAGCATCTGGGACATGGGTAGGCATTTCAGGATTCAATTTAAGATTAAACTGGGGAATTGATAGGAAAAAAAACAACAACACACAAAATAAACCCTAGACATATTTGATGAGATGTGACTCTTAAATATTTCCAGTGGGAACCTGAAGATTTTTATTTGAACAGAAAGTCTGGATGCAATTGCTACATTTGAAAGGACACTTTAGTGTATTTGAGACCTCATCTCTTATTCTTAAAATAATTGATGAAATACACTGTGTAGCTGTTAAATATAACTCTCAGGATATTAAGAATATGAATATTTCTGCTTTTGCTCAAAAAAAGATCTTTAGAAATTATTTGAAGTTTTGGTTCTTTATTGTTCCTTTAAGTGCATGGTTGGAATTAGTTCCTCATTGCACTGTACAGTCTCCTGAAGGGAGGTTGTGGTAAAGAGGGATTTGGCCTCTTCTCCCAGGCAGTGAG